GGAATATGCTAACTCCCAAAGATCATTTCAAATCATGATCTTAGTAACATCTTAGATGAAAGTCTGGACATTGCAAGAATTGGGTTTAAATTTAAATTTTAAAAATTAAAATTTTTATGGGAATAATGTAGCTGTATACATAGAGGAAACTGCAAAGTAGAGATATGGCAGTACCTTGTTCACAGCTTTCTTGGAAGTTCTTAAAATTACCATGACAACCAGATACTAGCCTCATATTTGTAAATCTCTATGGTCTTTATTTTGTTTTGTATTTGAGTTATGGATATATTTAAAATAAGCCCTTTTATGTTTCAGTTGTTCTACTGATATCTTTTTTTTGGCTCTCAAAGATATACTTTTCATTAATATTCAAGAAGGTTAGTTTCTCCTTTACCACACTAGCAGAGTTCATCATATATACTCTAGTCCCATCATCCCCTTAATTGTTAGTGGAAAATATCATAGTATCTAAGGGAAATTTTGGGAAGGAAGGAAATATCCCAAATTTTCAGGAACTGGTATAGCGTATTTAATTCTGTCCATTACATGCATACTCTATACAAACAATTTTCTAAAACATTTGAGTTATTTATAATTCTGGCCTCAAAGCCTCACTGCAAACTCATACCACAATAAGTAAAAGTAATCACTATTTCCAAATGACAACAAAATTGGAATCTCACAAGCAGAAGAACATGCTGTATAAATTACAAGGCTAGGCTGATTTGAAATTGTGTACAAATAGGAAAAGGAAAATCTAGATCAAAAGGAGAAAGGACTGTGCCTTTGTGATAAACCAAGGGGAAATCACACTGAGAGTCACTGTACATAAGTGTTTTGTTTTCAAAGATGATGAAAATCTTCAAAACCAATAGTAACTTAGGAATGGAGAAGGGCCAAAGATAATCAGCAATAGATGAAGATGAATAGAGAATATTAAAGTTGAGAAAACAGCAGTAGCTGAGCCCAGTTCAGTGGTGACAGCCACTCACCTGATGAAACAAGTTTGTATCATGGCTTTGCAGCATCAGAGGCATGGGCTACATAAAATTTGTTTTTATGTCCACATATATTCCCTGTGTGATCTCCAAAGCATATGTTCCTTACTAACATGCATTTCCTATGTAAGTTCCCATTCACACACATTCCCTGACCATGCATGCCCTTTTAAGAAATACATGTTCTCTACATTTTTCCCCTCTGGATTTTAAAGTCCTTCATAACCTGGCCCTGTTCCACCTTTCTAGTCTTCTTATTGGCTTACTTCCCTCTACATAGTATGCGATCTTGTGTCATTGGACTCCCTGCTATTCCTTGTTGTGTTATGTTACATTATGTTATGTTATGCTATGTTATGTTATGTTATGTTATGTTATGTTATGTTATGTTATGTTA